CTGGAACAATCGTTCCTCAAGGTCCTACCATGCCAGACAGGTCGGTTGAAGAGCGGTGAGACTAAAAGCAGCAATCCCAAGGTCCGAAGGCGAAGTCGTACTGCTGACTGTGCAGAGGTGTGAAAGCAGTAAGGTGTTTCCTTCAGACAACCAGCATGACAGCGATGCTGCCTTCCCACAAGGAGGGGTGGGGTTAGAAAAGGTCAACCCTAAAAATGCACACCTCGCCTTATCCCACGGATTTCCGTCTCCGGCGGTAAGGACTTTTGAAGAACGGAGCTAACACGTCAAAAATCCCCCACAAAAAGGCCGTGCGTGACCGGCCTCAAGCAGATGTCCCTTGGGCACTGCGGTCACACTCCCAGGTCGTTAAGACCAACACTAATCCAACTTCTTTTTCAGGTCCCTCAAGAAATACCCTTCCACGGTGTGGGCAGCCGGGAAGTGATACTAGCCCTCATACCCTTAACTGCACACGAGACCAAGTTGGTCGCTTTCAAATCCTTCCTACACCTAATAACTCTGTTATCTCCACGACTAACCCTTCCCACGTCCTTTTATCACCTCGCACCGCTAGGGCAAACGATTCGAGTACACAGAACGTTATTCCTGGTCTCCTGAAACCAAGCTCTAAACTACATATAGGAACTTTTAATGTCCGAACATTGTGCTAAATAGGACAACAGGCTTCCTTAGCTAGGACTCTAGAATCTTACACCATCGATGTGTGCTGCGTCTCCGAAACGCGCATACAAGATCCGAGTTGTCATTCATTTGACCGCACCTAATCAAAATAAAGTTTCATCTCGATACACGCTTCGTGTATCTGGAAGCCCTGATGCTGCTTCCCGTGGCCTCGCTGGAGTAGGTATAGCATTAAGTCCTAGGGCAGAACTAGCTCTTTTAGACTGGACCCCAGTAGACAGTCGTCTATGCGCTGTCCGACTAAACGGATCAGTAAGGACCCGGAAAGATAAGGAAACTCGTCGTTGCCTCTTCGTCTTCTCTGCCTACTCTCCCACTGACTGTAGCTCAGACGATATAAAAGATGAGTTCTACAGGAAACTTTCTGACCTTCTCCGAGAAGCTAGGCGTTCTGATGTAGTAATAGTAGCAGGTGACTTTAATGCTCAAGTAGGTAAACTAAGTGAAAGACACCTGGGTGGATCTTATGGTGTCATGGTGAAAAGAACAGATAATGGCGACCGTCTGTTGCAGCTATGCTCAGATAACCGCCTATTTCTTGCAAATACTAACTTTAAGCATAAGGAAAAACATCTTTTTGACATGGCGACCCCCGAATTCGTCCCAACGTTGGACCCAATTAGATCACATCGCTATCAGCCACCAATGGAGGGGCTCGATAGAAGACTGTCGCTCATTCTGAGGCACATGTTTAGATTCAGATCATGCTCTAGTGCGAGCACGTATCTGTCTGCGTCTTACTGGTCGTAGGAAAGACACTGCAGGGAAGCCTCTAAGGGTTCTACTTAATGATAGGCAAGTTAAGAATATATTTCAAGAACAACTAGAAAAACAGTTAGGCAGCCATGTAAGTTGTGTCCACCCCGAAGCAGCGTGGAATGACATCCGAAAAGCTGTGGAAACAGCAGTGATATCCGCTAGTAAGGTAAACCATAACGTTAGGGAGAAACAATGGATCTCGGCAGCATCTACCGCACTGATAGATGCTCGTAAACTCATCCCACCTGGCTCTGAGCATAACGAAGTCAACTTAAGCGCAGGCTTATAAGAAGCTTACGTAATGATCGTGAACAGTGGTGGGTAGCGAAAGTAAGAGAGATGGAAAAGGCAGCGGCAATAGGTAACAGTAGGCAGCTATTCAGACTCGTTAAAGAGACCGGTATTAGGAGCCCGAATATCAGTGAAACCATCTCAGATAAAGATGGGCATATTATTCATTCTCAATCCAGGAGATTGGATCGATGGGCAGAACACTTTAGGGATCAGTTCAACTGGCCTTCAGCCACACTTCAATTACCCACGATCCCCAGTCGTCCTGAATGGCAAATTGATGTAAGTCCTCCAACCCTCTGTGAGGTTGAAAAAGCTATAGGAAATCTGAAGCGAGGGAGAGCAGCAGGCCCTGACAGGTTGACCCCTGAGATTTTTAAGGATGGTGGTCCAGTACTAGCAGTGAGATTGACTGAGGTCTTAGGTAGAATCTGGGAACTGGACGTAATTCCATCTGACTGGTCCCAATCACTGATTGTGCCAGTCTATAAGAAAGGACAAAAGTCCTCTTGTGACAATCACAGAGGGATCAGTTTGACTAATATAGTGTCTAAAATATTAGCTTCAATAATACTAGGTCGCCTAACCAAAGCTCGTGAAGAGCAGACTAGAGAAAACCAGGTTGGTTTTCGACCTGGACGTGGTTGCATAAACCAGATATTCACCCTACGTCAGGTTCTAGAACATAGACACAAATTCAGACGTCCCACAATAGTAGTATTTCTTGACCTTAAGGCGGCATTTGATTCCGTTGATCGTGAGGTTCTATGGCAATGTTTGTCACTGAAAGGAGTACCAAAGAAGTACATTAACCTCATAAAGGCTCTCTACTCGAACACAACTGGTCGAGTTAGAGCCTATGGCGAACTGTCATCAGAATTGGTTACCTCAAGTGGTGTTCGTCAGGGCTGTCCACTCTCCTCATTCTTGTTTAACTTTGTCGTTGACATGCTTTTAGAGGTATCACTTTCATCATCTCAATCTCCAGGAGTTGAACTTTTACCAGGAGGCTCACTTGTTGACTTAGAATACGCCGACGACATAGTTTTATTCGGTGAAAACTCTGACAAAATGCAGAGTCTTCTGACCACTATAAGCAACAATGCAGGCATGTTCGGAATGCGATTCTCTCCCTCGAAGTGCAAAATGTTACTTCAGGATTGGGTTGCATCGACACCTGAACTAACGATAGGGAGTGAAGTAGTTGAGCATGTTGACAGCTTCACTTATCTTTGGAGTCTCATCAGCCCTTGTGTGTGACGAAATCTCAGCACGGATACAGAAGGCTCGTCTAGCTTTCGCCAACTTGCGTCATTTATGGCGTAGGCGAGATATCCGTCTAGCAACCAAAGGACGGGTTTACTGTGCAGCAGTTCGTTCCGTCCTACTTTATGGCAGTGAAACATGGCCAATAAGAGTAGAGGATATTCGTAGGCTACTAGTGTTCGATCATAGGTGTCTTCGAAGCATTGCTCGTATATCCTGGGACCACCGGGTAAGTAATGCAGTTGTTAGGAAACGAGTACTAGGTAGGGATGGCAAATCGATTGATGAAGTAGTGAAACTTCATCAGTTGAGATGGCTGGGACATGTGTTACGTATGCCCGACCACCGACTGCCCCGACGTGCAATGTTTCATGGTGTAGGAGTAGGTTGGAAGAAAGCTAGGGGTGGCCAGACCAAAACGTGGCACAAATCAATGAAGTCACTGACAAGTGGACTGGGCCATGTTGGTAGGTGTAGACTACCTGGTTGGGATTCGCGAGATGACAGCAACCGATGGTTAGAGACCTTGAATGACATGGCTCAAAATCGTTTGCAATGGCGAAGATGCATCCACTCTTTGTGTTCTACCAAATTCTAATCTTCTGAATTCCTCATGTCTTTATCTTTTTCTCTTTCCAAATTTATTTCACTGTACTATACTCCTTCAATAATTTCCTCAAACCCTAATCTTTTGGATTCCTGATTATACTCCTACCACTATGGGATTTGAATCGACAACTGCATCTCTGTGCTAATGTGGTATGGCAACTCGAACTGATGTACGTACGTACGAAGTTCTACGTTGTGACTGACTGATGGTGGGTGAACTACGAAAAATTGAATGATGTCTAAGTATTGTCGTTGTCCAAATCTTTAATCGCTAGGCTATTCACCTACTTATAGTATGAGATGGGAGTATTGAAACTATATCTTGTCCTTTTTATTTCGTTTAATGACCCAAGTGTTTAGAAAGTGCGTTAGTCTAAAAATCAGATAAAAAATCGTTAAACTTTTCTCGAAACTTATTTTTACAGCAACTAGTATGCCTCGAATGTTTCTATACTTTATTTTAATCAAAATCCACTTCAGCAGCTTCTTAACATATCCTTACTAGAACATAGTTTCTTTAGTGTTTTTTGAGCACTTTTAAGAAATATTGTTAAAAACATAGTCTTCTAATAGTAAGGATTTATTTCTGCTATGTTACTTGAGAAACGATTGGTTCTATCTAGAAGGAAAAATCGGTCAACAGTAAGCTTGTTTTTGGATAATACGATTATGAAGAAAATCTATTTCCTATGGATCTAAGCCTGAAGCATATCTAACATCCAAACTTGCCTTGAAAAAAGTACCATCAATCTTCAGCAAACGCTGTTGTATGCTTAACTACATTTAAACTTCCGTCCGACAACCAATGTAGATGCAGACCAAGTCAGCAATTAGTACTTGTTGAGAGAACTTCAACGATGAAATATGCTGACTATGATCATCCCTCTTTGAAGGTCGCATGTGATTTGCCCACGACTAGTGCTTCTATATTCAGTTACTCCTAGTCACCCTGTTTAGTGTTGTGGCAAGCAGATAATTTCTGAATATACTGATTGACTGTGACACTGAAGAGCCTTTAACTGAATCGTCGGAGTCGTTTAATTAACAACCTACGATCTAACACGATAACCTACAGATCAGTGCTAGATTAAAATGTATGGAACATATGAATTTAGGTAAGCTATCCAATTACTGGTCACGAATACAAACAAACTAGCCAATGAATGTAACCGCATGTATGTATTTAGTGCAAACCACATGATAGTCATTAAGCAAGTCCATGTAAGGAATTTATGAATTGTCCCACAAAATCGAAGTAAATGTGGAAAAATAAAATTCACCACTCTAACTTGTCACATGCAATTGTCAATCAAAACTGCATTTATTTTTCTTCTTTACCCACATTTTTCCCAAAAATTTAGTTCTTTGTTAGCCAGTTTTACTAAAATGGTATATTAGCAATTTCTTTTAAATTTAATGTTTTAAAAATGATTGAGATCGCTGATAGCGGATATTAATGTTAAATAAAAAAACAAAGGGGTATCGCCGATACATGTGGTAACAAAACAAAGTTAGCAAAAGAAATACAGTTAAAAACTATACACAACTTTAACTGAACAACATTGGACCATTGAAAATTAAAAATACCGAAGTTTGTATAAGGCAAAAAGCGTGAAAATTACAAAACATTCTGACACCGAAGTCGAAAGAAACAAAAAGTGAGGATTAAAATATTACTAATCAAACGGCATATTTTGATTAGGACTTCTTTAGTCAAGAAGTAGGCAACTGAAGCAAAACTGTCTTCGTGAGAACTATAAGAAACGTCAGATGGGCTGAGACAAATAAAGTCAACATAATATACTAGATTTTAAAAAATGAGACCAGCGAGTTAAAACAGTAAGGGTATAATTACTATACGAAGTTAGAAAAAAGTTAGTAATGCGCCTTCAAACGTAAGTTAGTGAAGCTTGGTCGCTTAATAGACGAGAAAATAAACAACAAGATATTAAAAGCATACAAAACTGCCACTTCAGAGACAGCAGCATTTCGATTTCTTTGATGACTTTGAAGCAGGATTGGGTGTCTTCGCATTAATTTGACGAACGAGATCGTGAAATATCTGAATAATAAAATATTCGAAATCATTATAAACTTCGATGAATTTAACTTTGAGGAACTCGACGGACTAAATAGTTAAGTACTTAAGAGCGAACTGAGATTACAAGAAAAACAAAAAATGAAGCAAATTAACGAATGGTCATATTAGCAGAAGATGATTGCCGGAAATGAAATGATTTCGACTTATTAGATTCTTAACAGTTCTGTGGATGACCAGGTTAACCTCGGAAACAATGTATTAGTAACCAAGTGGTTGTAACGATGACACCAAAAACTACATTGAGCAGGTCTCCAGGATGTAATAACACACACTTTGAAACCCTGCGATTCACTTTTCAGTTTTAGGTATTTCTTCTTGACATTCTCAACTAATACCAAGAGGAAAAGCCTATAAAAAATGGGAGTGAGCTACTCAACTTTTGGTCTTTAAGAAAGAGTATAGAAGTCAAGCACATGCAACAAAAGAATACTCACAATACTGTAGTAGTGCTTTTGCTTGTACAGAAACTCCTAGGGAAGCCCGATGGGTACGGAGGACCCACCTAGGAGAGTTGGAAGACCCTGATTCTAAATAAATTGTTAACATGGATTCAAGTATCCTTAAGGAATAAATGACGTATGAATCTGTTGTTGATCACAGGCTACCATGAAACAGCATCCCCAAGGTCGCTGTCTTCAAGTCAAAGGCTCGGGGACTAGATGGCTAAGAAAACTACCTGCTTCGGTCTGGGCACCCAGGTGGTATCTTAGTACATAAAGGATCCGACTTATGACTATAACTGGAAAAGCGAATGTCTGGCGCTTTAACCGGGTTGGTGGATATGGAGGGTCCACCTAGGGGAGTTGGAAAACCCTGATTCCAAACCAATGGTGCACATGGGCTCCAGTATCCTGATGGAACGAATGGCGGAAGAACCTGTCATTGGTCAACGGCTACCATGGGACTGCATCTCCTCACGATGCTCCACTGCCTTGTGGATCAGACCTTTAGGTCAAAGGCTCGGGGTGTGGTCCCCTAAGAAAACCACCTGCTTCGGTTCGGGCACCTGGGCAATATCACAGCCCACACACAAATTATTTTGTGTGGCGCATATGTAGCTGGTGCCCTTTTGTACCAATATATATGTGTTTAAATAATAATAATAATAATAATACTATAACTGGAAAAAAAAATTATTCTCGCTTCAATCATTAGTATACTTACAGTTATTCGATAACATTCGTTCTTATTTAGCATCACTTCAATCGTCCATTGCTTTTTCCCCATATTGTGTATTTCCTTATTCTTCAACTCATACAGCAGCTTGTGTATGGTGGAAACCCTGTTCTATCTGAACGACCTCAAGTCACTGACTAACCGAAAGTTGAGTGCTACTATTGAATACGAATTATGAACCAGCCTTTTTGAAAACATTTGTAGCTTTCCATAAATTCCCACACTAATGCAGATAGGATAACATAAGTTTGACTGCCTTTAAAAAGTCTGAACACTGATTTCTGTCGTCTATACGAGACTCGTATTTTTTGGATACGGTTTTGTTCTCTGAGCTGGATAGTTCGATCGTTTTTCTGAACAATATCATCAGAACAAAGTTCAGGTACATATGAAGTGTTCAAATTTCTCCACATATGTCCCCAAATGCCCTGGTACGGCCGAGAGTGGGGAAAGCCCGCTCTCTCTTTAGAAATGCTCTCATATGGCCACGCGAATATATAGCCTCTGACAGGGAAGTCCTACTCACTGCCTTCTCGAGGCAGGGATGTTGATTACGAAATTGAGAGGAGGAAAAGCGAATGCCCGGAGCTTAAACCGGGTTGGTGGATATGGAAATTCCACCTAGGGGAGTTGGAAAACCCTGGTTCCAAACCAATGGTGCACATGGGCTCCAGTATCCTGATGGAACGAATGGCGGACGAACCTGTTATTGGTCAACGGCTACCATGGGACTGCATCTCCTTACGATGCTTCACTGCCTTGTGGACTAGACCTTTAGGTCAAAGGCTCCGGGTGTGGCCCCCTAAGGAAACCACCTGCTTCAGTCTGGGCACCTGGGCAGTATCACAGCCCTCAAGTAAATCGAATGAGATTTGTGAAGCGCATATTTATCTGGTGCTTCCTTGTACTAATATTTGTGTTTAAATAAATAAATAATAAACATATGGAAAACGAAGTGAAGTAGTACCTCACTACTAGTTTCATAGTCCTCATCACTGAGGGGCTAAAATTATGTTCTGGAGAGCTCACATCATAATTTTAACCTAGTGAGGTGTGATTAAGTGACGGAGAGGCTTGGTTTAACAATACAGACTTGGCATTGAAAGTAATGAACCGCCTCGTCATGGTTTCAAACCACAACACCTGAAAATCATCTCAGAAGAACGGGTAAACCTATACTTTCGGACGTTTGTGTCTCGTCAAAAATCGTTGATACGGCTTACTGTACTAATCGTTGTAAAATTGAGTGCGGTGGCGCTATAGTTTATGGACGACCTTTGAGCAACACCAAAATGACCCTGGAAGTGTTCATTTACTAACTAGGGTTAAATGAAGGTTGTAAATTAGTACGTGGAACTAGGATTAGGATTGACATCTGAATGTTAAGATTAGATATTATATTTAATATTTTCACTACGAACTGACATTAGCTATAATGCCGAAATGGTATTTAGCCAAATGAGCGGATGAATCTCGCGCCAAAATCTAAGACCTACCACCATAAATCTGACTAGTTCGTTCATTAATTGTAGTCTCGCCGCAATCATGACTGATTTGTGTTCAAGACGTTTATTTAATTTGTACATCAGAGTGAATGAGACCGCATACTAGCTTACAAAATACATTAGTGTAAACTAAAGTACATTATTGGGGCTTATACTGCAGATATTTAACGGTCTATTTAGAATAAACTCCAAATGAAGAGATAATCGCAACCTTAAAATGCTTGGGTCTAATTGGAATAATATAAATCCTATTACTACTTTATTGCTAAACACTGGACAATCGAAACACATACAAGTAAATTAGGACTGACAGGAGACAGCAACGAGTTCCAGTACAAAGACTGGAGGACTCTTACTCCTAAAACTGAGTAACCAATTCAAATGAAGTGTATACAAGTGTATAAAGACACTAATTTTCATTAGAAGGTACAAAACAACGTAGATTACCCACCTCATTTACATTAGATCTAGTCTTGGCACTAGTCTCTGCGAAATGACACTTCCACTCATTCGCCAAGTTTCTTCCCTGTTCTGTACCCACACTTCTTTCATCTTCCAAGTCACATTTATTTCCAACCAGAACTAGTGGAAACTCATCAACATCTTTGACACGAAGAATTTGTTTCCGCAGATCAATAAGGTCAGTGAATGTAGCCTGTGATGTGATTGAATAAACTAGCAGAAACCCCTGTCCGTTTTTCATGTAAAGATCCCTCATCGCCGTAAATTGCTCCTATAAATTTACGACATATATCACTAAAACATGAGACTTACAGTTCCAGCTGTATCTAGAATCTCTAGCATGCATTGTTGGGAATCAATCTCAACCTGCTTCCGATAGCTATCTTCGATAGTGGGGTCATACTTTTCAGCGAAAATTCCTTGCACAAACTGAACAGTGAGGGCACTCTTCCCAACACCACCGCTACCAAGCACAACTAACTTGTATTCCCGCATACTTTGCGGATAATACAGAAATAGCGCCGCGAACGAAAGACTTCAAACAACAGCACCGAAATTGATTAGTATCAACAACTTTTCGATTTCATCATGCAATTAATGCCTGTTATTTATAATAAATGACGCTTTTTTATGGTCTGAATGGCCTTGCCAATTTATTTGTTTCGTTTTTCGAAATACGATATTACTAAGTAACTGCCTAATTATTTTCGGTTATTATTTCTTAGGAAAGCTTTGAAAAAGTGCTATCTAACTAATGTATTTCCATGTGAAGTGGGAGATATTTGTGATATAGAGCTTCTTACATGCTTACGTAAGCTTATCTATATTGGAATATGATACGAATAGTGAGAATAGGTGACAATTGATTCATTTTCATTTTCACTTCCATTTTATAAAGGACAGAATGCTAAGTAGCCTGTGTTAGTCCAGGCAATCGTGGTCTTTCAGTTCGCCCAATTTTCTCCTGAAATCGTCGACAGATGGAGCTTCAATAACGTGTTAGTATAATGAATTCCACCCGTTAATGGTTCAATAAGAAAGTCGGTAGTCAGCCTACAAATCGTTTGCTCTTGGCTTGTAAACATTTTTGACTGTCCTCGTAACTTTTATGTTTTGTAAGACAAGAAAAGGGAGGGCATATCAGATGCGAATTTATCACTGAGCAATTTAAGAACTTTGATCAATTCACTTCTGATTCTTCTATATGACAAGAGAAGTAGATCTAGTTTAGTCAATCGAGCATATACAAGAGCTTTGCTATTCTATGAATCAGCTTAGTAACTGTTCTCTAGACCTCTTCTAACGACTTAATGCCTCCTATCAGTAGGGAGCTAGCTGCTTGCATGCAGTACTCTAGTTAAGGATGAAAGAATACTGTACCGAAATTCAAAAGGTTTCTGACATAAACATCGCTATAGGCTCTACTTACTGACCATATGGTTCTAAAACCTTTGGCAACTATTGCACTGCAGTGTTCAGTAGTTTTAAGTCTTGGCCAACGATGGCCCCTAGGTTGTTGTGTGTTTGGACATCATGTAGCTCAATGTTATTCACCGTGTATGTATCTGTACCTTGATGATCAATGTGCATCATAATGCACTTGGGGGTGTTTGTCGGCGACTGTCAAATTCCAAACCATGCAGATAATTTATTCACGTTACTTTCGAGTTCCAAGCTATCAACTTCACATATTATTGCTCTCTGTGTCATGATATCGTTCGCATGTAACAATACCGATGATGACAGGAGACTAGGAACAACTCTGTCCCCAAAACTAAACCTTGAGGCATTTCGCCGAGCATAGTATCCTAGCAAGACAACTCTGAGTTCACTCGTACTCTCTTTTGATTCGCAACTAGGAATTCCTTTATCTACATCTATGAATTTCCTCCAATGCTGGTATTACTTAACTTATATCACAACTGGTTGTGCTGAACCTTGTCAGAAACCTTGCTGATTTTAAAGAGCTCATGTGATGTTTAAATAAATCAATGACTTCTTAGTATTGATGACTGTTGTAATTTTGAATTCCAAATACAATACATTCGTCCGGGCTCATCTGATACTTCTTGATTAAATTGCGTTATTCCTGGAATTACTAGTTCATACTACAATTCAAATACTTCTAATTATCATATTGGCGTCGCGACTGAGCCTGTGATGGAACGGTTAAATATAAATTCAGATTTTAATGCTTTTGAGGAGTACATGGAAAGGTTCGAAATCTGGGCTTTGACCAAGGAAGATGATGAGGATTTTAATATTGTGGCCCATTTCCTTACATTCATCGGGAAAGAAGCATACAGCCTTATAAAGATTTTGGCACTTCCAGACAAACCGATTTCACTCCCCTATGCAACTCTCAAGCAACTTCTGTTGGATCATGTAAAGTATACAAATTCCGAATGCGGTAAGAAAGGAAAATCCGATAAAATGACTCGTCAGAACATCAGGAATTCCACTTATTCAAACAGTCGTCGTAGTTCGATGCGTAATCAAATTTATTCAGATAATACTTCATTGAGTTGTGAAACAGTCCATGATGATGAGCACAAGTTTAGTAAATGCATGTTCTGCGGCAAGTTTCACCCATGTAATTCATGTATATTTCGTAATTCTAAATGCTTTAAATGTGGTATAACTGGACATATTCAGTCAGTTTGTAATACCATGGTTCATTTCGCTGAAAGTAATGCTAAGATGAATGCTTCTAATGATCAGTTATCTTTATCTAGAAGAGGTATAACGTTATATAACAGTCCAGAGTTGAATGAAACCCAGAGTCATTGGGAGGCGAAAATTCTCAACCAATCAACTTATCAGATTTCTCATGTTATTGTGCCAGATATGGTTTGTCGTAATAATTCACATACTTCTGATGTAATTTCTTACAACTCTGAGAATAGAATGTTAAATGAGTCAAATCATGATCAAAAACCAAATTCAGTCATGGTAGATGTTGAATTCCCTGATGATCCATTACCTAATGAAACTCTTAATCAATTTGAGGAAAATATTTCAGAAGAATCGAATTCTGATATCATATCAAGTGTCAGTGGTCCTCATAATGAATTTATCTCTAATGATATTCCTCATGAATGTGAAAAATATGTTTCTTATGAGTTGAATTCTAGTCATATTTCTGATGTTATTGTGTCATATGTTGGATACTCTCACGAACAATGCATGTTGAATAGAATCCCTAGTCAGGGGTATAATGATACAGAGGGGATAGCAAAATTTTCCGAAGCAACCAGAGAACCAGTTTGCCCAGAAGTGAAGTTTGCACAGACAGAGAATCCAAATCAAGTCCAAGATTATCCTAATGAATATGAGGCAGATGAATGTTTTCTATCCGATTGTTTCGCAGGTAAATCAAGCCTAATTGAATCACGTGTGTTAATTACATATATCAATGTATATCCATCTGTGTATTCTAATATGAATAACAAAAAGAATATGTATCATGATTTTTATTCAAGTCAAAGTCACATGATGGAATACCTCAAATTATATATCAGTGTTTATTCCCAAATACTCACATACAGTAGTCGGTGCGTAAGATTTGAGATAATGCAAATTGGGAACGTCATATTGGCTAAAACATTGCGAATCAAGGACCCAACATTATTTCGTGGGGGAGGATATTGTTGGAAAGTCCATGATGCAAATTCTAAATATCAATGGTTTCACTACACAACCGACATGCTGATTGTATACAATTCTAGAACCCAGAGTGCATTCTAGATAATACAGAGTGTACATTCAATACACCATCGGACAGATGTAGGATGAACTTAAGAAGAAGACAAACAATCGATTACAGACACTTACACTTCAATTCGAGCTGTGGCGGATGTGATGTTTAAATAAATCAATGACTTCTTAGTATTGATGACTGTTGTAATTTTGAATTCCAAATACAATACATTCGTCCGGGCTCATCTGATACTTCTTGATTAAATTGCGTTATTCCTGGAATTACTAGTTCATACTACAATTCAAATACTTCTAATTATCATAGCTCACCAACTTTCACGGGCTACTAATGAGTTAGTAAGACGTGGAAAATCTGTTGTAAGTTTATACCGCTCTTAATAAAGAATCCGGTTTTCCTTGGGAAAATTTAACAACTCTTTCTTAATGATGTTTTTTAAAACAGTGTCCAAAAAGTATGTGGAATGTTGTATGAACGGAAGTGGAGGACATCTATACAGTATATAAATTACTAAAGTAATTTGAGAGTACTCGCACTTTACCACATTTATCCGCCACTAATGATTAAGTACTACTCTCTCCTCATAATGCTGGAATATTTTCTCTCCTCTTAGTCCTTTGGTGTATGTACGAAAATTGGCGTTTGGGACATTCTATAGACTTTTCGATGAACTTTTCTTCCTACAACCTTCTAGTCTTGTGGGGGGCCGAGACACATATTTCGAGCTTCTCAACAGCGAGATTTCGTCTCGTCAATAACCAGTAACTTAAATGTCTCTCATGGAGAAGGTTGCAAAACTGTTCACGGGACCATGGTTGGGAGTTTTCCGGACTTCTCGGTGTAGTCCAAAGTATATATGGTGCAGTAATTTTAATTTATGAATTTCTGATGAGCCGTTTCAACGTGGGATTCTGATTTTATCGTCCAATAAGCTGAGGATGCCGAGCGAATGATTTCGTGTTTAAAGCAATTAATCCCTTTGATAAATTTCGATAATGTGATAAGAAGAGGAAAATATATCACATAGTTCTGATAATCTTCGTCTTATTATTACTTTATCGAGATTTCGCGTTTATTTGCATTCTAGAAGTTTGTTCTGGCTTTGATTGACACATTGTTGTGGACAACCTTATTGGAATGGAAGACTAGATCTTCATGGTTACTCTTACCTAAAAGTGACATATAATATACGTTTGTGACATTGTTCTCATGATGGGTTGATATGTGATATATTGGGGAGGATGAATAGGTGTCTGGATCGTACCTCATTACTTTGTCCACATGTTGCATTGGGGCGTATATGGTAACCACGTCAACTAAATTCTGTTCTAAAAAATTCCCTCACCACTCAGTCTTCAGGCTTTTCCAGTCTACCGTAGGCATATTGAAGTCCCCTTAGATTTAACACAAACCGCTGGAAGACCAAGTGTTAAAACTGTCTAAAAAGACTACATTCACCTTGGTTGTGGACGCAAGAGGAGAAACTTTCACTTAACTTGCTTCCTTCAGGCAGGAACTTAGGTGTATTAACGATAAAGAAGGATAAAGTAATTGGTAAATCGTAGTAAGATACTATACTAAGTACTTAACAATATGTCAAGTTTTCACTTACGGGACTCCTAAGAAGTTACTTGGGCTGGCTAAGCCTTAAGTGAATTCCAGCATTCGACTACTCTCAAGGAGTAAAAATTGTGTCCAAAGTCCGTCCTGCTGTGTTGTGTTTGTACATTCTGGGTGTTACATTTTAGGTTTGTGTTTGAGCTAGACTTAAGTAGATGTTTAAAGGGATGGCCAAAAGTGTTAAGATTGCTGTAAGCCATT